ACTATCATTGCGGCACAGTCATCTACAAAAAATGGTGTGCTTGGAACTAATCTTAAAAAAAAATCATAGAAATACGAGATGGAATTGACTTATTAGGTCATCTAGTTCATCTTCCTCATCCCTCCACTGGGATTTGTGTTGCTCTCTGGAGAAAGAAAATCTGAAGATTTGGGAATCAGAGGAAAAGTGGGCCTCCTAGCGTAACTCAGGTTCTGACCTTTACACAATAAAGCTGTTCAGTTTGAGTTTCATTTAAAAAGTGCCAAGCCTCTCTAGTGAATCAAGGGAGAAAACTGTCTTTCATCCAAATGGATATGGCTTCAAAATGAATAATCCCCAAAATTAGCAAGCAAAAGTCACAAAATCATTTTCTCCTTTGACATTAATACAGATGCTACATCATTAACAGGGGAGACCATTACATTTGAAAAAGCAGGGATTGAAAGAGGTCTAGGATGTCCTCTCAGCAAACTAAGGAATTGCATGAAGGGTTACAGAAGGGTTGCTGGGTTTTCTAACCAGCAAACACTAGGCAAACCATCACTTGCAAGGAAAGGGAGGGCCCCTCCCTGGAAATCCATGCTGCCAGCAGGGAGAAGGGGGGCTGCTCCCCCAGAGCCGCTGCTGGCAGGGAGTGGGATGTGGGGAGTCCTCTGGCCCCAGCCCTGGGGCAGCCTGCACCCCAAACTCATCCCCAGCCCCACCCCAGAGCCCACACCCCCAGCTGCAGCCCTCATACCCCAACACTCTGCCCCAGCTCTTGAGCCCCCTCCCACACCCTGAACCCCTCATCCTCAGCCCCAAGCTGGAGCCCGCACCCCCAGTCAGAACCCTCACCCCAACTCCTTGCACACGCCCCGAGCCCCCTCCCACACTCCGAACCCCTTGGCCCCACCCCGCCACATATCACCTCCATACTGGTGCATCTAATTCAATTCATTCCGCACATGGATATAAAAAATGAGAGGGAACATTGCTCCTAACTGCCAGAGGGATGGAAGCAACTGGAGACAAGGAAATGGAAAACACAGTCTGGGACTAGGTTTTAGTTAGCAGCAGAGGAAATCAGATTGCAGCAGGAGTAAAGCTAGCATAAAAGCTTGATGGACATCCTATTGATCACTAGGCTAATGGCAACTGGGCTTCAGCTGAGGGACCTTTTTTTTTTTTTAAATCTCTGTCTTCAAATGGCATCCAGTGAAGAGAAGAAAATCATATCATAAGAGCTTCTGGTATGCAGCGAACATGCTGGAAACAACGGTAGTCATGGGTAATATAAGTGCGTATGTAGGTGGATTCAGCTGCTTTGTACCACACGGCTATAGTACATACAATGTGAAAGGCAAGGCACTTCTGGATAATGGACGCAGAGTGAAAAATGTGCTTACTGGTACACTCATAGGTGAGCAAGAGCATTCCCGGTTAGTGCTCACAGACGGGGAAGAGCCTCTCATGCGGGAGGTAGATCTATTTCTCTCTACAGAGAAATGCTGCTCTAGCTCCAAGCTTTTCAAAAATGGGAGCCTAAAGTTTGACTCCTAAATCCTGATTCAGGGACCCGAGTAAGTGGCCCGATTTACAAAATTGCCAAGCAGCCAGAAGTTCCGATGGGAGCTGGCTGCTTATTTAAATACCTAGATATGGATTTCGGAGTCTAAGTTTAGGAACCCATTTTGAAAACTATGCATAGACATATGTCTAAGAACCAATATATATACATATACAGACACCCCCGACTTACACCATCGTTCCGTTCTGGAAAGTCTCGCGTAACTCAATTTTTGCATAACTCGGAAATGTATACCCGTACGTTACGCAAAAATTTCTGCAACTCAAAAATCTTATTTCTGGCTTATGGAACTTTTTCCATAAGTGCGAATTCGCATAAGTCGGGTCTTGTGTAACCTGGGGAGCGTCTGTACACACAATGGTATGGTAGAAAGATTTTATCAGCATGAGTTTGGGATGGTCACATTACTCATGAGTGACAGAACCACGTATCAGTTATTCAAGTTATCCCAAACAAATGCTGAAACGGCTTTTCTACTACCCGGTGCCAGTATGTACAGCTGGTGTAAGTTGGTGCCAACATCATCTGACTCCAGTGAGGTACCATGAGTTGTCCTTTGCATGTATGACACATTAGCCTGCTTAAATAACTGCAGCTCTCTAGTGCCTTCCACTACCTTGATGGCATTGGTTTCTATAGTCAGCCCACACCAGAGTGAAACTGGCCCGTATGAAATGGTGCATAACATACCATCTTTTCCGCTTCTGTGTTTGTACTATATTTGTACTATAAAACCCCCGAAATACGTACTAACATGCCCGATGGGTAACTGGGCAGCTAGGCTGGGTAAACAAATTCAGGATTTCCTATTGGGCAGGGCGACTGAAACGTTGATAACTGCTGATTTGAGGCCAAGATTAATCCAAGAAAGCTGTTCAGTGCTGATGATATATGTACGCTGGGGACCCTGCTTACTACTTCCTCACACAGCCACTTACTAATTTGATTTTGGTTCCAGGTGCTGGAAGCCTTGTTTTGCAAATTAAGTAATAGTTTGCAGAGCTGAGAAATCCCATGTCCTTGGAATTTCTCTTAAACAGTCATTTAGATCCAAGTTTTCTCAAGGAGAGCTGATGGGAGCTAAGCACTTTGGGAAAATCAGGCCAGTAGAGTCTATTGTTTTACATTTTACCCATAAATCCTACATGCAGCGGTTCCACTATCTCTTGTGCATGGTGGGACATGAACAAGTGCCCCCATTGGGCTCATTATATCCCCAGGAGCAGTCAGAGAGGTCTTTGAGCAGGCCCCTAGGCAGCTCCTGCGATTCAACTGGCTCTGTTCATAAAATGTTCCCGTGCCACTAAAAGAGTAACGAGAGAAGGAAAAAGGACGGCAGGTTCTGGTGCAAAGGAAGGAGAGGAAAGAGAAAAGCGATGGCATCACACGTCATTTCCCACCAAGACCAAGGATATATAACTCACCAAAATTCAGAGGCAAATCTCTAGAGTTTGCCTTGCCTCTCAAGTAACCCACCAAGGCATGTAATAAACCACTTTGCTCACCCCCAATGACTAGCTTTCGCTACAGGGAGAAAAGTTGTATTTAAAAAATGAGGCGGTTTGGGGCGGATACTGTAGGATCTCTCTGGGTCTTTCCTGGTGTGGAGAGAGTCCAGAGGGAATTTTGTCTTGGCCCTTTCTTAAAATCCTAGGGAAAACGCCGTTGGGTCTTTTTGTCTCTCAAACGTTGCCAATCAGAGCTGTGCACAATATTTACCTCGTGCCACTGGCATTTTCATTAGCAGCTTTGGTATGAGCTCCGCCCAGCTGACAAAGATGGTTTGCACACCTAGCCAATCTTCCCACTCAGGACTAGAATAGCAGGGGGTGTTGCCGGTCAGGATTTAGATTCAGAGCCATGTGAGAAAAGACCTATCTCCCATGATAACAGTTGTCACCTCCCCATCACCAGCCCCTTGATGGAATGAAGCATGGGGCAGCGGGTGGAAGGGGAGAATGGGGTGGTGCTAGGTATTGCAGGGGAGAGGAGCGGAGAACAGCAAAGAAGAGGGTGGGAAGATGGCAGCAGGGAGAGGGCATTCCCTTTGGTGGTTCACATCTAGCCCCTTTTAACCAAACGGAATTTTCCTTTCGCGAGCCAATAGATTGCAGCAGCGCCCAGCTCTGCACTAGGTGCTCAAGACCTCGGCACAGCACAGAGCAGAGCCAAGCTCCGGAATCCCTGCAGAGGTTTCTCCAATCGCTCTCTGGGGCCCTGGACAAGAAAGCGCTTTATTTCCATCATTCCCAAAACTGGCCCCCGCCCCCTTGCTTAAGAGACAAGAAAAGACCAACACATGAGGGGACAGGGTGTCAGGGAAAGGGAAGAGGAGAAGGTTGAGTGGGAACATGGAGGCACAAAAGGAGTAAAAAGTGAAGAGGAAATGAAAGGATGCTAAAATGCACCCTCTTTCCTCTCTCCCGCTTTTCTTTTATCTTCTTCACGCTCTCTAGTCCAGGGGTTCTCAAACTGGGAGTTGGGACCCAAGATTATTACATGGGAGGTCGCGAGCTGTCAGCCTCCACCTCAAACCCCGCTTTGCATCCAGCATTTATAATGGTGTTAAATATATCAACAAGTGTTTTTAATTTATACAGGGGGTCGCACTCAGAGGCTAGCTATGCGAAAGGGGTCACCAGTACAATAGTTTGAGAACCGCTGCTCTAGTCGATGTAGGTCTTTATAACATATCACTGCAGTACCTGAGTATTCTCCAGTCGTGCAGCAAGTGACATGACTAACATCCCTGACATGTGATTCATTCTCTCTCACCTCCCCAGCTGCTGTCCCTGCACGTTCTCACCCATCACCAACTTCTGCTCAGGCTCCCTTTCTTCTTTCCCCACCATTGTTTCTTGAAAGTATTTTAAAGGCTCCTTCCCTCCCCCACCCACATCTATGCTTTTCAGTTCCCCTTCTCTCTTCATTAATGCTGCCTTTCAAAAGGGAGTTCCTTTTCCATCATCCTTGTTTTTCTTTCCTAGAATACTATACTTCCAAAGACACGACAGGAAGGATGAGATGATAGATACATACCCAAAACGGCCCTGGACCAAATAAACACTACGCACATATTTAACTTTATGCACATGCTTAACCTCCATCCCTATTTAGCAAAGCACTTAATCACATACTTAACTTTAAGCACACATTTAAGTCCCATTATCTTCAACGGGACTTGAGCATGTGCTTATGGGCTTTGCTTAAATAGGCCTACCTGCTGTTCATTTGGTGCAGGGTGAAGCTCTGTATATGTTTCTCATCTGGAAATAAATGAAAGAAGCTTTCCCTATGCAAGTTCTAATGATCCCTTCTGGCCTTGGTATCTATATTTATGAATGTACGTTTTCCACATTTATTGACTTTTCATGAGAACAGTGCAGCAACGGAGCAGAGAAGAACGTGCAGGAGAGGGAGAGAAACTTACGTTGGTTTCGAAGCTTCTGCCTGGTCAGTCTGCAGTTTCTCTCCACCTTCTACTTCCATAGTGCAATAAACGATGCGGTTTGGAGCTAAGGATTTTAGACCCTGCACTTCCATTATGACGACCTATGGAGTGAAGAGAGGAAGTGTAAGGAAAGTACTGAGCAACACAACAGCAAATTAGCTCTTTCAGCTGAAGCTCTTTCATTAGGGTGACCAGATGTCCAATTTTATAGGGACAGTCCCGATTTTGGGGTCTTTTTCTTATGTAGGTTCCTATTACCCCCCGTCCCCTGTCCTGATTTTTCACATTTGCTGTCTGGTCACCCTATCTTGCATCAGGGAGACTGCCCAAATATATACAGACGCTCCCGACTTATGCAAGTGTTCCATTCCGGAAGTGACAGAACGCCTTGCGTAAGTCGAATTTTGCGTAAGTTGGGAACGTACACCCGACAATTACATAAAAAAAAACCCTTACGGGATTTACGGAACTTTTTCCGTAAGTCCAGATTTGCATAAGTCGGGTTTGCATAACCCGGGGAGCGTCTGTATGATATGGGTCTGCTCTTGTGGGGTACTGAATGCCTTCAACTTCACAACACAGTAAGACCAATAAATAATCCCTGTGAGGGGCTGAGATCCAACCAAGAAGCCACCCACAAAACATCAACAATCCATATCACTATCAGCGCTGCCATTTGGACTCACCTTCTGCTAATATTTTTGCAAATTCTGTCAATCCCAGTTATTTCCATCACCCACACTAGCAGAATGTGGCTCTCTGTCCCTTTCCAATGGCTAGGCCACATAGAGACTTATCAGTCTGCTACTTTGGATAAGCTAATGGAACTGATCCCTTAGCTCAAGCAGGAGAAGCTTATGTGTTTAGGTCCAGAGAGCAAGGGTTCAGTCCCTGTAGATGACTCATCAACGAGTGTCATTATACAGGAAGTGCAGTAGGATGATGCACGTGTTTGTTTACGACACAATATATATAATTTCCAACCTTAAGTTCGTCTTATCAAAACTTTTTAGAAGGAATTTCCTTTTTCCTTCTTTTAATGTTGATGAATCATCATGTTAACAATGTGTCTTCATCAAGAAATCACATGGATGTTTCTGTTCTTCTTATAACTAGAGATGCAGCGTATAAGTTAAAATTTCAAATTCCATGCTATATCTTCCCTGATACATTGTCATTCGCCTGCAGATTCTCTCATACGTACAGAGATCTCTGCAGACTCTCTGATGAATCAATGTTTCTTGGCCAAACTTCTGCTGTGCAAATGTTTTGTGCATATGAATGGATTGCTCACCCTCTAGAACTTCAAAGCGCCACTTACAATTCCTTCTGAATCAGTTTCAGTAGGGATAAACATGCTAAACAACATTGTCATGAACAGCTCGTTTATGAATGGCACATATTTTTCTTACAAGTAGGTCTAGTGCTTTGTGACATTTCACTGTTTCTTGATACCTGTGCACATAATAGTTATGCCCTGTTTGATGTCGACATCAAAGACATTAGCCCTGGATTCATACACAACCAAATTTCCAATAAGGCTGAACTGAATATTGCGAATATCGTAAAGCCAATATTACCTTAAATATTTTAAACGCTGAATTCAGTGATATTGTAAACAGTGGTGTAAGTTGCATGTTGTTAAATTGGGGTAATGGTGAAAATTGGTGTAACTTACACAGCACAGGGGATATTTAGCAGAAAAAACAATAGAAAAGAATGGAGGAAATGGTAAATATAAATCCTCTTTATTTCATTTTACATCTTTTTCAGGTCCACTCTGTGTATGCTCAAAAGCTTGTTTCTCTCACCAGCAGAAATTGGTCCAATAAAAGATATTACCTTGGCCACCTTGTCTCTCTGAGGAATAAAGTGACATCTCTACTTAGCAATAATCAAATGCAAAGACACCTAAAGCACAAGGTTTTAGTAGTTTAGGAACCAGTAATAAAGTCTCAATGAAATTACACTGATGAATATTTCTATCCCAGAAGTTCTATTTTTGATTAAAAAACCCACATAACCCTATTATTGCAAAAAGCAAAGAGAATGAAACTTCGCAATTCCCCGAAACACAGTGGTTTTAGGTAGTATAGAGAAAGGAGGCATCCAGATTAATCCCTGGATTAATTCCACCCAATTTCAGTGGAGTTGCCCTGCAAATGAATTTAGCTCATGGCTTCTACACTTGGTACAAACATTGCGACACTGTGAAGATGCTAGTTAATTACACTACTGTTTGAGCGACTTGATACAAACTACCTTGAATTTCATATTAGTATAATCTCCATAGATTGTTCTAAGAAGATGGGAGAAATCTAAAAGGGCATATTATGACGCTTGGTAAAAGCATTTTATAATTGTTTCCTAAAAGGGAAGAAAGCCCCGCTTGGGGATTAGGAAATCCTTTTACTGACCTCTGCCCCTCAAGCTGTTATTTTAATATCTACTCTCATGGCTCAAACTGGCTAGGCATTGATTGGGGTGATTCTTAATCACACTAATTCAGCACATTATATGTTCAAATGGAGAGAGTTTGTAGCTTTTACCTCCAAGGAGAAAGACAGCACCACATCGGACTTTGAAAGCTGGTTTTCATTTTCTTCTCCCAGGTCAATGATTGAGGTGTTGTGGCTGCGTTTTAGCTTCTGTAACTTGAACTCCGAGCCGCCTTTGGACACTGGCATGCTTTCCAAGTTTGCCATCAGCAGGTTGACAGAAGACTTCAGCTCCTCGATAAACATGTTTTCCATTTCTTTGGATACAAATTTCGGAAATTTACGCTCCTTGGATTAAAACAACAAGAAAAATGTATTAAGATTTAATGGAGACTCAAGAGTCGCTTGTTGGATTGTCACACCACATGGGTGATCTGGTTATGTCTCCACATGCATTTGGAAAGTGCCTTGTACATGGAGAACTACCACCATCCATAACAGCTGTCTCCCAAGCCCCTTGGATGGATACATTACCTTTAGCAACTGGCTGAACCAGTGCCTGGCATTTATGTGATAAACTGTAGCTGCCTGTATGCATTTCTCAGATTCACATTCATTATCTGTTCATACAGCTTGTCTCCTATATATATCAGTATACACGCCCCGGCCCACATCCTCAACTGGTGTGTGTTGCCATAGCTACACTGAAGTTAATGGAGCTTTGCCAAATTTACACAAGCGGAGGAATGGCACCCGGGTTTTTCTCCCCTCTTTGAAATGACAGATTCCTCCTTAGAGATCTCCTCAGGCCGAATTCTAAAGTCCAACCTGGAGCTGATCACAGCCAACCCCCACCTAACCCAAGAGCCTCGTGATATTTTCAGAATTGACCCAAGCCCGACACTTGCATGGGAACCCGTGTCAGCCCTGCAGACCTGTCTTTGGGGCTCAGCCCGTTGGGCACTTCCCACTCCCGATGCCTGTGATCTGTCTCTGCGTGTGAGGTTGTCATGGTGGCGTCTGTATGTGCTACTCCTACTGGCCACTGGTGCCTTGCTGCACAACTAGTTAGCACACTCTCTCTGCGGCCCACGCAGAGCGGAGAGAGGTGGCAACAGCCAACAGGAGTGGGGCAGGCAGCTGTCGTGCTGACCCCATGGGCGGGAGGAGGTGATCATAGACAACCCGCCCCAGGGAGCCTCGGGTTGTTTTTCATGCACAACCTGAACCCAGCGCTTGTAGTCAAGTGCTGTCGGGTGGCAGGGCTCTACTCTGCCTGGTCCCAGCTGGCATGTGCACCAGAAACATCTTGTCCCACATGCAGCTCCGTCAGGTCACCTTTATTACGATCTGCAACGCTCCAGAAAGCCGTGGGAATTTCCTGCCTAGCTGCATAGCACCAACACAACAGGATTTATTCTCACAACGCCCCCGCAGAAGGGTTCCAAATGATTATCGTCCCCTTTTTACATGGCTGGGACAGAGGCACCGAGAAGTGATTTGTCCAAGGTCACCCAGAGTCTGCACTAGAGCCAGGAACTCCGCAGTGCCAGGCCAGTGCCCTTCCCCCGAGCAAGCACTGCCAGCTGTGCCCTGCTGTGCGTTGGGTTTGTATAGGTGGCCAAATATCTGCCAGTGATTTGGGCGAGGCCATCAATTTCACTTGTGACGTCATCCAGGCTTTGACTCCAGGTTTCCCTGCTGTTGTCTTAAACACCCCCTGGTTGTCTCATTATGGGTCTGAAGTGCTAACGGGGATCTAGGCCACGAGAATGCAGTGTGTGTGGTCCCAGTGGGAAGCTGCATCTCAGGAAGGGGTTGGGGTTAGGCACAGCTCCCTCCCAGAGGGCACTGCTACCATGGGATGGGAGTTTACAGGTGACTGAGTAAGCTTTATCATCCCTGTTAAAAGCTCAGGATCACTAAGGCCTAAGTCCTGGTCACTGCACTGAGCCGAAGCAACAGGCAGCAGATGGGCTAACCAAGTATTCCCTCCCAGGCCATGGGCAGGCAGGAGAGGTCTCGGGGCAGCAGTAGCCTCCATAGCCCCCCCACTCTCATCCATAGCAGGAGAAGGGTTTGTGCAGATCCACCAGCCCTGGGTCTCACCTGCCTGTCAGCGCAGATGCAGCCCTGGTAGAGCAGAGCTCTGTAGCTCAGAAGGGGCGTGGGAACTCCGTGTGGGCTCCCTGCATGCTTCCCAAACCCCTGGGACACACACTCGTTCCACTCCACTGTGCTAGGAGTGGGCAGGGCCTGCTGCTAAGTCATTAACAAAATGAGGAATAAACATTGTGGCGGGAAATGGCTGAAGCAGTGAATGATTCTAGTCTCCTCAGCACCTTCCCTGCAATTTCTTTGCAACAAACTGACCAGGCAGGTAATTCAAAGGACAATCTCTCTCTCAGGCCAAGATTTTCAGAAGGCCTACACCCGCACTTGAGGCCTGATGTCAAAAGACTGCTCAGCTTCCATCTAGGCACTTCAGTGGGTGACTAGATTTTCGAGAGCTCAGCACGTCGTCACAATGGGAGCGTCTGGGTGAGGGCACCTGTGGTAAAACTTTCAAATGCACCTAAGGATATGTCTACACTGCAACAACAACAAAACAACTGACTCTGGCTCGCACTCCAGGGCTAGAAATAGCAGTGTAGACATGCCAGTTCAGGCTCTGAGACCCACCTGTCTGCCAAGTTTCAAATTGCAGGCTCCTATACTGAGTAGTAATGCCTACACGGCTAAGATCAGCCCCGAGTCAGTTGACCCAGGCTTTGAGACTCACTGCTGTGGAGGGTTTTTTGTTTGGTCAGTGTAGACGTACCCTAAATGACTTAAGAGCCCTCATCCCACTGACTTGCAATGGTTCCTGCGTGCGAAAGTCACGCTTGAGAATGGGAGATAGGCGCTTTTGGAAACGTTATCCCAACAACACTGCAGGTACTGAACGCTTACACTCCGGCTCTGAGCTCTTGTGAAAATCTGTCCCTAAGTGTTTCCTAAGTTAGTGACAACAGACCAGAATCTACCCCCAGATTCATTTGGTACAACTTCAGTGACAGAAATGGGTGCCAGCCAGGGGCGGCGCCAGTCTCTTCCCGGGCGGAGGGAGTGGGGCTGAGGTGGGTTAGACAGAAAATTGGGGAGGCTGTGTCCCCACTTGCCATGAGGCCTCACCTCCTGCTCCTCCTAAATTCTGGTCCCGCCTCCTCCTCTTCCCTCCCCCTAACAGCCCAGGGGGCAGCGGCCACAGGGGGCAGGGCCCAGGTGGGTCAGTCCAGTCCAGGCAGCTGTGGGGAGTCCCGGACCTTCCAGCTGCCCTGGGCAGCACATCTCAGCAGGTGGGGACATGGACCGGGGCTGCTCTCAGGCAGGCTTACCTCCGTGCTGCTGCCGGTGGGGGCACTGCCACTGACAGAGCTGGGCGCCTGGCCAGCCACCACCACTCTCTCCCCTCTGCCTTCAAAGCTGGGCGGCTGGCAAGTGGTGGCTGCTCCAGGGGGTGGCTAAGGCACCTTTTGGGGTGATTACAGCCACTGCAAGCCCCCCAGGTGCCGCCTCTGGTGCCAGCAGCATAGGGGCTGGAACTAGGGGTGTGGAGGGTGCTGCTGTACCCCCTGGCTTGAAGTGGTTGTCATTATAAACAGGGTTTGCAGTTTGGTTCAATGGCTCTCAGCACCCCCCACTACACAAACAGTTCCAGCACCTCTGGCCAGCAGCTCACTAATTAAAAAGCCATTGCCAAGCAGCCTTTTACTCACAATTAGGGTGCCCAGATGTCCCGATTTTATAGGGATAGTCCCGATATTTGGGGCTTTTTCTTACACAGGTGCCTATTACCCCCCACCCTCTGTCACGATTTTTCACACTTGCTATCTGGTCCCCCTACTCACAATGTCTATGTTTTATTATTTTACTACCCAAGGATTCAAATCCAAGACTATCCGCCCCCTTCGAAGAAACTAGCCTCTAATTCGAGGACCGTCCTAAGACATCTGATGCATCTGTCCATCCCCCTAAGTCACCTCCAATTTGACTGTTTTATAGGGGGCACCAGTAACTGTGTGAGGCATAAGCTATCCGGCCAGAGTTCACTACCAGAAAAAGCTCTAAATACAGAACTGTGGAGACGACTTGAGAAATACCTTCTCGCTCCAGGGCTGACAGTTCATAATGACACCATAAAAAGAGGTTCATAAAATGCACCCTGGAAAAGAAAACAAGACCATGTTTCTGCCAGGAAACCTTCTTAAGGCTGTAGAAGAAATACAAACAGCAACACAGGCTGGCAGAGTGTATCGGAGAGTACTCAAGGGTTTATTCATTACAAACACATTTCAAAGCAACACTTGTGCCAGGCAATTAAAATGCAGCCTTCAATCTCAAATCTCCGTCTTCAGAAACTATCCTCTCAAGTAAATTATTCCTGGCATAAGACAAACTATCTAATTGTGTTGTTTGATGGCCCGTGCATTACATGAGACAGAGACCACCCATAAAAAAAACCCAAATGGTTTTTAAATGGTGGGAGATATTGTTGAAAGCACTGATGCTCAAACAATGTCCCGTCACTGCACTACTCATCTCTCCCACAGTACCAGCTTCTGCACAGCTTCCATACATCACATTTCAAATGCAGTAACTATCAGAAACAAAATCTCACTGTTTGTCACCAGTAGCTTCTCCATCAATGCCCAAACCCTGTAGTTCTTGGACAGACGAGACTCCCACTGAAGTGGGTGGACACATCTGTGAGACAGGTTGAAAATCTGAGGTGTATATGTGAGGCGGCTCAGAGGAGGAACAAATTGGATGGATATTCATGGGGTGATGGGAGGGTTGATAGATGGTTGGCAAGTGGGGTGAGCAGGACAGATGTAGAGGGTGGAGAGTTGAGGCACTTTGGAAGTGGGGCAAGATGGATTTATCTGTGTGTTAGGTTATCAGGTTCTAGGACATTGTATGGAGATGTAGGGTTATTCTGTTGACTCACCCTGACAGGAGGACCAGGTGAGTCTCACTAAGTCCAAGTCAAAGAAAAAAGACAAGAGGAGTCTCTAAGGCTAAAGGGGAGGTAAGAGGAATAAAGCAGCCCAGAAACGTGCAGGTTTGTTCCTTTAAATGCTAAAAGGAAACCATGAGATGGGGCCTGAGCTTCTGATACTGACGGCGCATGTGTGCGGTGCTGAGAACCGGTGGAGACTCTGCCCTTTCATGAGCTGTCTGGGGAGCAGTGGGAGGCAGAGATCACGACACAGGTGGGTGTGGGAAGGCAAACGTAGCAGGTGATGATACCGCAGATGAGATGTCTGGGTGGGAGCTAGTGAGTTGAGGCAGGATGGTAGGGATGGATAGCACTGGGGTCAGGCAGACAGAGCAGGAAGGAGTGAGCCCCATGTAGGAAGGCTCCCACTGCTCTCGCACAAGGGGACTGACTGGAAGAGGGGCAGGACTGTGGCCAATAGATCCTCAGCTATAGACTCCATTATGATTATGATGGCATCACCCACAGGCCTTAATCAGGCCTGGGGCTTCGCACATGCGTAAGTGCTTTGCTGAAACGGGGCCCAAAGCAGGACTTCACTGAACACCAAAAACTACATTTGAGCTGTCCTGGGCATAGGAAAAGACACACAGCTCTGCTCGAGCGTTCTGGTGTGTGGATCAGGTTACTGAGGGATCCTGGGCACAGAACTTGTTCAAGGTCCCATAGCTGGCCATTAAGTGGCTCTACAAAGACAACAGCACTGGGGCACTCCTGCCGCTTGGTCCTATTAGACTGCACAGCCTCCATCACATCTTAATTGAAAATATCCTAACTTTAATTTCTTATATGATGAATTAATCGACCATTATAACTGAAACTCAGTGATGGGCACCTCGGTGCTGCAAAGTACTTTTTAGTGCGTTGATTGTGCACCCACAATCAATCACCATGCATGATACAATTCTGCAACACGGACCAGTAAATTAGAGATTTTTCTTTTCATAACATTAAAGACTAGCCCGGAACTGAATTACCGGCTGTGATACTTGAGCACAAAAACTATAGAGAAGGATCCAGAAAGTCACTTGGATGCCAGCAAAAAGCAGCATCCATGAAGTTGTGAGAACCGCAAGTATCTTAGTAAACAGACGCTGTAGGATTTTGACATGCTAAATTGGTGGCTAGCAGCAATCATGGAAAAGGGATTAAGTAACAATATGTACTGAATATATTATCATGACTGATATGCTTGTTTCAAATACAATTTCCCTCCACGCTCCAAAGTTGCATTTTGAAAGTTGAGCCCTGCAAAAGGGAAGTTTCGGAATATATTTGTTTTAGGAGCTTTCACATGGCCTAATCTCATAGGCCCGGTAGAAGCTTGTTTATGTTTTACTGTCCTTGGGGGAAATGAAAATGGTTTGCAAATATAACTCATGCAGTTGCACCCTCTGCTGACTGCCAGTGAGTTATGAATACTACTGCCCTCATTCGAAAATGTAGTAAACAGAAAGTTAAATAAATAAATAGGTAGAACCTCTAGTATCAATACCCAAATGACCAGCTAACATTCTCAAAACCTTAGACGGTGATAATGCTTCATGCAGAATTTCTTTTAAAGAAACAAGAGAAGGTTCAATATTTTCCTTAAAATAATAGGCCACTCTGATTTAAAAGAGGGGAAGGAGAGTCAGTTTTGATTATCTATCTGCCACTAACTTGCCATATGGCTCTCAGACAGCTCATGTTCTCCATTTGTAAAGTACGGATCATACCAGCTACCCTCCCAAGGATGCAGTGATGAAAATTAACTGGTTACAGTTTGTACAGTGCTTTGAAAAATGCAAAGCAAATCTGTAAGGATGTGATTTACCCACAAGTGCTGCTGCTAATTAATTAATAATAGACTACAAATACATACTTTACTACCAATGATCTCAAAATACTTTACTTAGAAGCAGCTTCAAGATTGCATTCCTTGTAGAAGACTTCAAAATTCTGATATAATAACCACATTTATACTTCAGGGAATTACAGTTTACCATGGAGGGACTCATAGTGTGACTTTTCTTCTCTAGAATAAACCAGAGGGGTCAGAATTGGCAATTCATTTTGTGGCATTTTGTTAATCAAATCTGTCTTGTAAAGTCCATTCAGGATTATTTTATTATCTGGCTCTGTCAGGAAAGTATGGAGTCTTATTTGTTCAGTGATATGGGAGGGCTTTGACAGATATATAAAGAGACTGACTTTTCTGTGTTTGCAAAGAGGAGAGTGCATGGGTGTTTATCCTCAGGAATGAGGAACCCACTGACGGGGCCGGAGATATGCTGGCAGTCTGCATTTGGGGGATTTTTTTTATTCATGGAGGGAAAGGGCAAAATCAGCTGTTTCACAACACGGGCTGCTAGTGGAAGGCAGGGAATTCTGATTTGTTATTTGCATCCTGAATTGAAGTGGATTTAGTTTGCTGATTAGATGTCTACTAGGTTTTTTTGTTTTTCTCTCTTCTTCTAATGGGTTATGCTGTCCTGACTATCGACTGCAACATTTCAGTTAGATCACAGAGGCACTGAACATGGTGCTGCAGAGCAAACATGCGACGCCGCTCACATTAGGGGTTGGATATAAGACTCAGGAGATTTGGCCAAATCAGAGGTGAAATCCTGGCCCCAGTGAACTCAATGGCAAAGCTCCCAAAGCTATTGTCCTCTTTAGGTCACCTGAAACTGTGTGAGAGTTACCCTGATACCAAACGGAGAAATGACTTGCTTCAGCAAGCTGTGGTGTGGTGACAGTCTGCCCCGGCAGAGTGGTGTGGTTCCAGATGCTTTGTTGCCGAGGTTAGTTTGAGGGAATGGCTCAGAGGCCTGCTGCACTGGATAGATATCAAAGGCAATTCAACGGTAACATGCGAGGAGGGTGTTGTCCCAGACTGGAGTATGAGACTAGACCAGGAGAGTGCTAGCCCACCCGTGCACAGCACTGATATTTGGCCAATTGTGGTTCTGTGTGCACTTGCAAGTCTGGAGTCATTGAGGGAAGGTTACCTACCGGCAGGGAAAGAAACAGAGGAACCAACCCCAGCTCCTAACAAAACAGCTGCTTCTAGGCAAGAAACCCAAATACCTCAGCCATTTCCAACAGCACCTCCCCAGAACCCACACTTATCCCCCAACAGGAATTTTGAGCCTGACACTAAGAAACACAGAGAGTGTCCGTAGATCCCACTAATTTCACTAGGAGCTGTGGGGGCTCAGAATCCCTGAGGAGCAAGCGCTGAGAAGAGGGGTGTATGGTGGCTCCACGGAGCTACGTATGTGCTAGTTACTACTTAGAGTTTTCTTACCTTGGCAATTTGATCTGCCATTTGAAGGCGTCCGTCTAACTCTCGTCTGATCTGCGCAGCTTGCTCGTCTGGATTATCCAGCTGTGTGGCAAAACAGGAAAAAAAGGTAAACAGGATTGTTAGGATGAAAAAAGGCCACCACAGCACCACCTGGGAGAAGCTTGTTCAGCTTCTCAGAGTATACGACTTCATTACATCATTATTTAATATTTGTATTGCGCTAGCTCTGACAGGCACCAGTCAAGGCCCCATTCTGCAAGGCATGGTACACGCGCATATGGAGTCATTTTTCCAAAAAAATTTAAACAAACATGCTCAGTTGAATGCATTTTGTCAGACTGCATTAGATGCCCATGTCGCTACCTCTGTGAGTAGAAATTCCGTCATGGACAGATATATGAATCCCCCTGGGCTACTGGGCCAGTTCTACATTCACGGATGTGGGAAAACCAGTATCATTGCCACTTAAAATAGCACTACTGCAGAGGGCAGCAGAAAGGAGCAAATGGGGAACATAGAGTTGGTCTCACACAGGCACATGAGTAAGGCTGAGTCGGTCAGATTATGTGATTTTATGTGACCTCTGCAACTTCAGACCCGCATGGCAGGGCTTGGGCTGTCAGCCCTGGGCAGTGGGGCTCCGGCTTCCGTGATTTATTGTTTACTGACCGCATCTTGTCCGTGACTTTTACTAAAAATACCCATGCCCAAATCTTAGCCTTACACATGAGGCATGGTGGGAATTTACTGAAGATAAACTCAGTGTATGCACTAAGCCCAAACTTCCTTACTTCTAGGGCAAAGTCTACCCTCCCCTTTCACATTATACTTTCTCCATTAGCAGTGTTACCTATAGGTCAACATTTTAGGCTTCATTCAGGCTCCTGGGGAACCCAAAGGCACAATTCTGGGATGCACTAGCCTTCTGTACAGATTCTTGACAGTAATGGCGGCATGCCTTATAGTAGCACATGTCAACCTGTAACATCAGAAGATACCTGTACCTATATAAAGAGGAAAGGAAGATGCTTTGCTGAGGAGGACAATAACGCCAAAACACACTTCACCATCCCTTTTATTTTTCAGGCTTTCACTACATTTGCTAACCCCACTCCTTTCTAGGACATAACATCCTATTCCTGTAGCATCTTCTCCTCCTATTTTTCATTTTCAGCTTCAGGTTCTGGAATAAAAGCTAGGGATTCATGCTCTGGACTCTCATCAGTACTGCCATCGCAACTATTACGCACAGCAAGTGCTCCAGGTTCGTGTTTGGTCTAAAAATACTAGGAAAAGCTGTTGTGACCAGGTTTCCAGTTTGCTCAGCAGAGGACGTGACAGGCTGCTCTCGAAGTTTCAATTGCATTTTATTTTTGCTTTAAGTGCCTTGCAGTGTCCCTTGTGTCAGATCAATTTGGTCTGTTGGAGATTTTAATTAACCAATTGTGACCGATGAGGAGGGCATTTAATGGCAGCTAATAACTAATGGCTGGAGGTGAAGCCAAGGGCCTAGAATCTGGCTGGTTAGCAGATGCTTGAAAGCGCTCTACCCAGAGGTCATCAGTACTGTTATAAACCACTAAGATATGCAGGGGTGGGTAAAAGAGTAGCTACCTTTTCCATTTTTTTTTATTTACACATTTGTTGAAGTTAAAAGTCCCATCACACATTTCCAGGGACACAACATTCTGTTCTCAGCACTGCTCTTTCCCTAGCACTTAAAAGCAGAGGCCCAGTCCTGAAGTCTTTAATGAGGCAAATGTCCCAATTTGGTCTCAAGGTGTGTTGAAGATATTCTGAGAGAGGGCCACATTGGGCACCAGTTTCATTTTAGATTCAAAAAGAGTCTTAAATTAAATGAGAGAGAAATAAAAGAGGCTACTCTGATGTGTTATTCTTTGAAGGTTTAGATCAATACCTTTGTGATTCATGCATAATAATTCCTAGGGAATTTTACATTTCTGGGTAATAGTCACATTTACACAAACACTAGGCTAGCCCCCTCAGCTGTTGTGCATCCACTGAAGTTAATGGAGCAATGCGGGTTTATACCAGTTGAGGATTTGGCCCATTATATTAACAGTTCTTGAATCTACTGACTTCCATAGCAATTTGGACTGAATAAAGATTGGCACGGGCTTCACTATCGTGCCGTATAGGAAATAACTTCCTAGTGTGCAGGGATCATGACAGAGAAAGTATAGCGGTGCTTTTCTATTTGTTGTGTGCTATAGGCAGGTGTACACAATATTCACCTCGGACACACACTGGCTTGACCAGCCCTTGAGAATGCTTACGGCCATTAGTTTGCATTGCAATTAGGGTGACCAGACAGCAAATGTGAAATATCGAGACAGGGGGTGGGGGTGGGGGGTAACAGGGCCCATATAAGAAAAAAACCCAAAATCGGGACTGTCCCTATAAAAATCGGGACATCTGGTCACCCTAATTGCAATGCTGTTGTGCGTCTTCTCTCTCTCTTTTTCCTTAAGATCTCAACCCTCACGACAGCCAATCCACACCACCCGTTAGCTGAAGCGTTCAGGGGCGAGATCCTTTCACGGTCGACTGCGTGGAATCCTGCAGTGTTGCACTGACTCTGAAAGCTCTAACAGGAAGGAGTTGCTTGTGATAGTTAAGCACGCAGTTCCAGCATGGTTCTATGACACTCAGGCGCTAACTCTCTCTTGCATCAGTGTAACTCCGGGGTAAGTCCATTATCTTCAGCGTTGGTACAAGTGTTCCAATCAGAATTAGACCCAAAAGGAGCATATAGGAGGCGGGGCCGGATTTCCAGTGTGCTTAGGGGCGCCGGCGTTCTAGGGGTGCCTAAAAGCTAAAAGTGGGTTAAAAGTTTCATTTCTACAGAAAACACGAAGGTCAGCTGTAGGGGGGCACTGAAGATGCTGTGCCTGGGGGCACTAAGGTGTAAATCCAGCCCCGATAAGAGGAATAAGAAGGTGCCAACTAAGGCTTGGCAAGCCAGTTAATTGGCCAGTCAGCTACCTGCCTATTTCACCACAGTCAAATATAATCAAATATTTCAGCAAGAATGCCCTTGTGTAGGCGGTGGCCTACTTTTTGATTGTTAGCAAGCTTACTTAAATGTCTCGATCACTCACTTTACTATGTGCTAAGGTCACCTGATGGGGAAAAGACAAATAACTGAAAGTTGAGCCTCTTGATTCGCTAGAATCTTCTAGAACGGAACATTGCGGGTGGTGGTGTGTGTGTGGTGGGGGGGTGTCTTTATTTGTATACAAGGCCACCAATGTACATATCAGTTTACAAAGCACATTAAAATGATGATGACAAAGATATAGATGAAGCAACTGAAGCTTTAAAGAAAGAGATAATGAAAAGCAAGGTACTTGAAGAGTTAGCCTGCTGCCTACCTAGCATAAGTGCACTTAAAGAGGACTTTATTTTTTTTTATAATCGCAATGTTTTTGTTTTATTGCATTTTAACTTCGTTTTTTCAATTGTAAATGTTCAGTCTTAATGTTTGTATTTCAATGCTAACCAACCATTGCTAAAAAGGTAATAATTATTCTTTCATTTTTAAGAACTTAATTTCATTGTATTTTGCCTTATTCTGAGCTCAAACAACTCAGTTAAGTCACTTGTTGTTTTTTTAATAATTAGGCAAATATTTATCCAAGGCTAAACCTACAGGAGACCATAGAGTCTTACTCTTTATTATTGTTCTAATAAATTACTGCTTTAAAGTGTTTGACCATTTTTGACATTATTTGACACTATTTGACCAATGTTTGACTGGTCAAGTGACCAAGTATTTTTGGAGCATTCAAATGCCCAACTTTATGCTGACTTTACAGACACTTTCCCAACTATAACTACAGTTTAAACTCCTTTGGGTAAGTTGAGACACAGCAGGAATCTAAAAACTTCAAATTGACAATGGTAAGTAGGAGTGCTAGTAGCAACACTTCTTTTCACAAGATACAGGAGTGTCATCAAGTTCAGCAGCATTAAACATTTCGATATTGTTCTGGTTCATCTTTCTTTTGTAAATATCCCTTAATGCAAGTGGAAACGGATTCTCCTGTCACGGTTTCCTAGTAGTATCTGTTTAGGAGACTGGGGAATCAAAAACTAAAATCTAGGACCACAATATTAGTTCTATGACAGTACCAATGCCACTTCTTGTCTCTTGTAAGAAATAACTTATCAATGCCTCCCCCCCAACTTTTACTGAAGTCAACCACATTGAAAAAAGGGTTTCCTTTCCCCTAGCAGTTATCTTGTCTTGCTATTTGGCTCTTCTAACGATGATGGTCAGTAGGGTGACCAGACAACAAGTGTGAAAAATCAGGACAGGGGGTGGGGAGTAATAGGTGCCTATATAAGACAAAACCCCAAATATCAGGACTGTCCCTATAAAATCGGGACATCTGATCACCCTAATGGTCACAGTGACCTGTTCTGCCTGTTGGAAAGCAACATCACCATAAGCCATTGTACCACTAGTGCTCTCAGTCACAGCTTCCCATAAAGCAATTTTATAACCTGGCTTAGAGTTGCTGTAACTATCTCCCTATGTATTATCCTTCTCCAGAGACAAATTGCTCCACAGAGCAACCACTTGCCTGGTGCAGTGCAGTCTGGAAAGTTACAGCTACAGCAACCATTAGAGTTTCAATTCCCAATATGACTAGATAGCAGCGCTTAGGTTTGAATGTATTTGCAATATGCCATCAAAACACTGGTGTGCCACAGTTTCCTTCCTATTGTCTCCTTGCATAACTTAAATGTTTCTTTTCCCCTCATATATGTACGCATGTGTCTGTGTGCTTCAGTAGGTCTGATTTCCCAGAGAGTTCAGAGGCATTACAGCTGGTATTGAGGGAATGTATATTTCTGATTCAATTTAAAGGCCCCCGTCACTGATTTAACGTAAGCAACAATCCTGCTAAGCATCCTGGACCTGATCAAAAGCTCACTGAGGTCAATGAGAGTATTTCGATTCCTGTCAATGACCTTTGGCTTAGGCTTATTTGTACTCCGTTCCCTGTGGCTGCGCCACAAACATTTCATAGTTTGACCTTTTAACGTCAGAA